GCCTTTTCTAAGTTCATTCATTGACATTATATAGGCTTAACGCAATAAAAACGGATATGTAATGAAAAGATCGACTGATCGATCGATTGATTGATTCAGATATTTATAATACCAAAAAGAAATAGTAGAGTAATGTTGTCTTAGTGGCTCTCATCCCCGAGGTCGTATGTTTGATCCCCGGCTGCACAGCCTGGTGCACACCAATAGACTCTCATTCTATGTGCGCATTAACATTCGCTCGAATGGTGAAAGAAAACATCGTGAGGAAACCGGTTTGCCTTAGACCCAAAAAGTCGATAGCGTGTGTCAGGTACACGAGGCTGATCAACTACTTGCCTAGATTGACAAACAGATACAGAAATCTGAGGTCCAGAACTAAAAAGGTTGTAGTGCTACTGATTTATTTCATTTAAAAGAAATAGTAATATTCCCATTTATAATAATAGTATTATCTTAAACTTGAGCTAACAAAAAAACTTTGCACTTTTCTTTACGATGTATTTTTTAACACAAAACAAGAGATTTCTTCAGAATGATAATTACAACACTCTCAAAAACATTTGTTTTGTTTTACAGCTTTTAATGAGTTAAGAAAGCTCGTAAAGAAAAAATGTAGCTCCAATGACAACATTTTTGTATCATTGTGACAAAGAAACTGTGTACAATACATGACTGTTTAACTTAGAATTAGGACTCAAAAAAAATATTATTTGTTTATATAATGTGTATTGTATATATGCGATAATGTTTTAGTACAATGATGTAATTAAACATTTATTTAAAATACGAAACACTACACACGGATCTTGATTAACAGTCATTGTTACACTCTCTACTTAAATAACTTGTATGGAAATAACGTACTGTGAACGTTAAATATAAAATTTTGTGTATGAAATCCTAAATAGATTACAATTTTGATAAAAATAAAGCCACGTAATGTATGTCTAACAATTGAAATGTTCGTTGTACTAAAAAATTTTGATTAATTTCGTAGCTACTCCGGTGTCTTTGATAACTTTCATAACTTTGAGATTATTTTTGTTTTTGTTGCATTTTTAAGATTGAAGGATTTCCGTGAAATTAGATGGCGCTTGTTTTTATTGTGCCCAGGGGATCTCTTGGGTTAGCGGGATGAATGTTGTATTTTGTTTGAATGTTTTCGTATAATTTTCTAAGTCGAATTTTAGGTCACCAATTTGTCGTTTCGGGTTTGTTATTTGTGATTTTTACTGCAAAAATATTTCACGCTTGAAGTATTATTTTCATTTGAAGTATTCGGATACGGAAGACCTATCACATATATTATACTAGCTGACCCGGCTAACTTCGTTCAGCATTACAGTCTAATAATATGGTTGTTACTTTAGTTAAACTTATTTTATGATTTCATTAAGGTAATAACATTTATTTCCTCCATCATTTTACTAGAATAAATGCATAATTGTGATCGGAAAATTATACCGTTCACTGTACCAAGTAATAATTATCAAAAACCTAACCAAGCATTTCATTCAATTTTAAACCTTATTTCTAAATAACGAGGGTTTGTTTTCCATGAGTTTAATTTACGACACAGTTGGGCAGAGAAACTTTAGAACTAGCCAAAATTGATTCTCTCTAAATTCGCGATAACTCCTCCTTGCTTGAGCCGGCTTTCAATAAAGTCTAGATTGTAACATTACGTTCAGGTATTTTAGTACTAAATTATAAATTCTACAGCAAGTATAACGGAAACTGTCTCGAATAACATAGATATAGTGTCAAACTTATCAACAATTTAGAACAAGAATTGAAACTTATCTCAATCAAGGCGCCCGCCATCTTTGTCGCTTGTGATCTGTCATTTTTATCTAGATTCTTTCCACGTTAGTTTGTACAACTTGATTTATGATTTTCCCATAATCTCACAATCTAATTCTACCTAAGTTTAGAACCGTAAGACGGTACCGTATTACGGTAAAAAAAACATTGAGCGTTGGGGGAGTGCTGCGGTATAATAGACTTCCACAAAATATAAAAAGTGCAGACAGCCTGGCAATATTTAAATTAAGACTAAAAGACCATCTCTTGAGTGATCCCAGTTATCTACGTAAATGAAAGTCCACCCAAGTTCTACTTCGCAAATTCATCCTTGAAGCTCTTCAATGACCCTCGACGTGATAAATTGTATCTTTAGTATATAAGTTCTCATGTAAGTGACTATTGTCTGTTATGAGATTAAATGTCTAACCTAACTATTTCAGAACCCATAGCCGAAGTGACTGTAGGTAGCTATCTAGTTAGTAAGTGTAAGATGGTTCTTACGCTTACTAAAATAAATCTAAATAAACAGCTGTTTATTTATTATAACAATGCATTATAATGTGTAAGATTTGGGAACCCTTTTAAGTAAAAAATACCTGCTTCCCAGCTTTAAGAGACGACGCCGCGGCGACGCTGACACGACGACGACGCTCGAAAGACGCTAGTGTGGGGGGTCTCTAACTATCTACATAGTAAGTGTAAAATGATTATGTGTAAAAGTTTTATTGCACAGTAATTTGTAAAAATATATACATCAAGTTAATGTACTGCGTTGCGACAGCATTAGCCAACATCGATTACAAAATGTACACAAACGAAACTAAACATGAAATATTTTAATTTTTACTTCAACGCCCAACGGTAACCACCGTGAAATGGAACTGAAACAATGGAACTGGTAATATAAATAATAAAGTTGGAAGGTTGTGATCAAAACCTAGATCTTAATGTCATGTCTTTTGATTTATTAACAGATGGCTTCATTAAAAAAATACACCTTAATTCTAATAATTAAGAAATAACATAAAAAATTAAAAATAAATCACTGGTGCTACAACCTTTTTAGGTCTGGGCCTCAGATTTCTGTATCTGTTTTATGATCATTTGTCAACCTAATAGGCAAGTAGTGATCAGCCTCCTGTGCCTGACACATGCCGTCGACTTTTAGGATCTAAGGCAAGCCGGTTTCCTCACGATATTTTCTTTCACCATTCGAGCGAATGTAAAATGCGCACATAGAAAGAAAGTCCATTGGTGTACAGCCGAGTATTGAACCTACGACCTTAGGGATGAGAGTCGCACGCTGAAGCCACTAGGCCGACAAAGGGTAATTTTAGGTTGTTTGTTATCATGTCTAGTTATTTTAATAAGAGGTGGACCTAATATAACGAAGCAATTGTTTTGTAAAGTAAATTATAGCCTAACTATTTGCAACTAATAATATTAATAATCCAGTGGCGCTACAAATCTGCCTTAGTCTCAGATTGAATTCGTTTCTTTGATGTGCTAATTGAATAAAAAGAAAATTACATTGGTGCCGTGATTCGAATGCACGACCTTAGGAATTCACGCTTAAGCCACTAGGCCAACTCTCTTGTATGTTATTTGTTACTAACATACAAATTAACAATTTTACATTTTGAAATGCTATACAATCTAGAAAATAATGTAACAATACAATTGCTATGTTTTTGAGAAATTCATTTGTAAAATATTAAACTAGTATTAAAACTAAAACCAGTATTCACAATATTTTACCAGTTCCATATTTCTTTATTATTTATTACAATTTTTTCCACTGTGATGGATCACAGGAATATTTAATTTAATATCGTAAAAGTTAATATACAAACGCTCAATATATTATGATGTACAGGCAAAAACGGCGGATAGTTTGAATATATTTTTAAAGTTATAACCAGAAGGTTTGCCAGAATTTAACGAAAAAATAAATAAATCAGTGGCACTATAACCTCTTTAGGTCTGGGCCTCAGATTTCTTAATTATTAATCATCTAATTATTTACAGTAATAAGAAAAAATATATTTCTAATACACTATCAGTCTCAGACAGTTTCATTACAACCAATAAACTTATTAATCGCCATTAAACTTAAAAAAACATCTTTGACCACCATTGTCCAGATCTAAGATTATTATAGTCACCTCGACGTCCGTCGTTCCACAACTGAGCGTTTCTTAAGGTAATTTCTGCCGCGCACCACCAATATGTGGAACCAGCTGCCCACTGACGGTCCTTCAAGAAAAGAGCGTACCATTTCTTAAAAGTTCGGCAGCGCGCTTGCGAGCCTTCTGGCAGTGCGAGTGTCCATGGGCGGCGGTATCACTTAACATCAGATGAGCCTGCTGCCCGTCTGCCTCCTGTAACATAAATAAAAAATAGAGGTTTGATAACCCGTTTATATATATATATAGATGTAGAACCACCCAACTTTATAGTAATTAAAAATAAAAATTATATGTGAAAAACAAAACATTAAAAAATATCATTAGCGCAAATCGTTAAAAATATTACTTTATTCTAAATTAAGTTTTTCTTAGGGAGGGTTTTGAGTTTTTTTTAAACATGTAACTCACGCTACTTTGGACATGGTTTCTTTTTTATTCATAATTAATATCGTGTCCTTGTTTGTAGCCCGTCCCATATCTCACAAAGGCCAACCTTTTTGAAGTAATTACTTCGTTTCAAGTTAATCCGACGTTATTAAACTGTCTTGGAAAATATAGATGAAATTTTTTAACTTTTGTCCCTTGAAAAGATTTTATACATTTTACTATATTACAAACTATTCGATATCAAAATTGGCTTTTATCAGTAATTAATCTAAGGCAATTATCACGCGCGAGTAAATCTTTTATTCAGTAAAAAATAAAAGTACCTTAGCATATCAAACTCAGAGGAGATACCACCTTACATTCAGTTTCTAATTGTACGCCGACTTAGCCACTACAATAATAATTGCAATAAATCGCGCGCCAAATACATGTAAAAATAATTTGATCTGTGGTCGAATTGCAATTCTATTTTCAAATCGATTTTTTCACTATTAAAAAAGGTCATAGTCGGCTTAACTCTGTTAGCTCCTGTTCCATTTTCAAACAATTAGTTTTCAGCCAGCACGCAGACAAAAGAGGTTGAATTCGAAAATGAATTAGTGCGATAGAGGGATCAAAATGTCGAATACATGGATACCACCGGATATTACTCCCGTCTGCGAGACGGCACTGGCACCTTTGACGCAGTGCTCCCAAACTGGCTACATGTTTTTGGCCCTAGTGACGCAATTATTCGGGAAATCCATAGACAAAAGGTATTCAAAAGTGAACCCATTTTCCCCGGAACATGATACATTTTACAATGTACAAAGGTTTCCCTCTCGCGGTGTTTCCAGGGCATATGAGCCGTTTACATCGTATCAGACGAATTTCGACTCTCATCCGCCACACACACAGACTCATATGGAATATTCAAATATACCGAAATTTGATTTTGAAGATTCCTTCAAACATTATTCGAATAAGGAACCTGTTTTTGAGTTTAATTTTGATGGACGTGCCGATTCAGCCTTTGCGGCTTCAAAGAAAACCGAAGTGAAGGAAAAAGTAAAAGAAAAGAAAAGGAAAAAGAGGCATATACAGGAATATGACTTCATTATAGTTGGAGCTGGCTCAGCTGGGTGTGTTCTAGCAAACCGATTATCAGAAGTCAAAAAATGGAAGGTATGTGTATCAAAAGTATATAATATTGCACTAAATATAAATTATTATATTATGGGCCCTTAGATTTAAACATTATAAACTCATGAAGTTGACTCATTTTAAGAAAATCAATCAATTATTTGCGACAACTCATATTATTCTAACAATTTAATAGTTTATTGTCAGCTTTCGTTGCACATGGATTTATAAATTAAATGTAAAAATTAGTATAATAATGCTTTACATTAATTCTTTAGTGAAAGCAAGTGATTAAAAGGTAATTCAAAATTAGGATAGATATAATTCGTTGAAACCTGTAAAAACATAATTGAAAATAAATAATTAAATAATTTTCAAGCGTTTCCAAACGCGGCTGACAATAGCATATAATTTCAGCATTATTGCACAAGTCACAAAATTAAAAGCGCCATCTAACGTTTCAAACGTTATTCTTGTGCGCCAGAGCGTTTAATTAGACTGATTTATTTAATGGCTACATTGTTATTTGAGGTTTGTTTATTTTTCACGGCCGAATTGCATTTGCACTGATTGATTTAAGCAATGTTGGTAAATAGTACATGTATTTTAATATCACTTTTATAGCGCGGACACGGGACAGTGTTTGTTATAAAGTTTTTGTATAGAGAAGGATGAATATCAAATCATAAAAGTTGGTAATTTATCATTATAAATATATTATCATTTATTATTATAATAAATGACCAATAAAAGTTGCACAGACTACTATTTGAATGTCACATTGACACATGACACATAATTGACATTCAATTGATAACATTTTAGTCTTTGAACTTATGGTCGAACTATATTTGATTTTACTTCTTAAGCAGTTGGTGACCAGAATACCATGCACACCTTGTTCGTAAAAATAATTAAGTGTAATGGAGATAACGGCATCCTCATCACAAAAGTTTTATTAGTGACTCAATTGATCATGTTTCGATAGCATTCATATAAATAATCATATTTTAAGACGGTTTTTCCTTCACCGTACGAGCAAATGTCATTTAACCAAATAAAATAAATAAATGCATTTAAAATTAAGTATTAACTCCATCTTTAGGCGGAAAAGCATAAAAAGTCAAAAATCATTAATTTATGTAGGTAACACAATGTACACTAATGAACGTTAAAAAAAAGAAATATACATTAAATACTTCTAATTTTACATTTACTGCCAGTTCTCAAATCAAGGGCGTAGAACGGAAGAGAAGAACTGGCAATAAACTCTCCGCCACTCTTTTTAGTCGCCAAGTTTTTTGTTTTACACATCGTTTGTAAGGAGCTGCAACCGTTACACCATGTTCCACATGACATCTTAAGTAATATGTCATATGTCTACTTCCTTCTAGGGACTTATTTATACATTTAATTAAATAAGCTACCATGCCAGATTACTCTTATTTACATATACTTCACATATAAAAAAAAAAAATTGTGCGTGTACTAGGTGTACACACGTAAGAAGTGAAACTCCTTTATGATCTTATTTTTTCGAAAAATGATCTACTATATGCAACTTTACAGAAATTCGTTAAATTAGATGAAGTTTAACAAAAGGCTTTTATTATCATAGACATGAATACAAATATTTCATTTTACCTTATTACTACGAAGATTATTATAGAATTTCATTAATTGTAATAGAATTATTATTATCATTGAAAAACGTGACGATTTGCTACAAAATAAAGAAGTTTCATTTCAACGCCGATAAAGAAGTTTGACTTCATTTATGCAACATTAAATAGTTATTGTATAAATATTAACAGAACGACTAATTCTTTCCTGTATAGGAACTAACCGGAAACAAACCTTTTGTCAGTTCACTCAACCGACGTCACGGAAAATCTAATTAAGCGGCTTTATCTGTAATCAGTATTCAATGAGAATAATAGTGTAATTCGATAAAATAGCAAATTGGTATGAAACACTTCGCGTGACTCAATTTTGCAACAAGCTGAGAAAAGAATTTCTTGTGTTATTTTCCTTTCATAACCAAGGTGAGCGTGGGATAACTGTTCACATAATTGTTGATAACGCTTCCTCTAATGAATTTATCCGTACGAGCCGTATGGGAAAAAAATCTATTTAAAATATCAAAAAATATCTAATCTATGGTGTAGATTATGGTGATGTTGGTGAAATCACCAATATTACATTATTTTATAACTACGACGTCACATTAATCTACATTTACCACAAATCACAATGTTATATTCAATTAATATGTAAATGTACCCAAAAGTATTTGATTTAGTCGATTTTTAAAGATGATTTAGTGAGAAAGAATAATAGAATAGAATAATACTTATTAACGAGCACACAAATGAACACACTAAAGAAATATTAATCTAAAAATTTCATCGGTATTGTATTTTAAATTGTGATTTATGAACCTGAAGATTAGATTTAGTTTTTGAAGTGAAACTTCTTTATCGGGGTTGGAAAAAATTTTAGTGTAACATTTTTCCGTTACGCGCCATGTTGCTTTTTGAAGTCAAAGTTCTTTATCGGCGTTAAAATATGACATATAGTATGTTTTTGACTTTGAAGTTTGACAACGGATTACATTTTCGAAGTCAAACTTCTTTATCGGCGTTAAAATATGACATATAGTATGTTTTTGACTTTGAAGTTTGACAACGGATTACATTTTCGACTTGAAATTTGCTAATCGCAATTTGCAGCAATTAATTTGTAAATTGTATGCTAGGCAGTGTATCAAAATTTACTGTGTTTAAAGAAATAGTTTCTAATAAGGTCATAAAGAATACACCTAGTACACGCACACATTTTTTTTTAATTGAAGTGAAACTTCTTTATCGAGGTTGGAAAAAAATTTAGTGTAACATTTTTTCGTTACGCGTCACATTTTTCGGTTACGCGCCATGTTGCTTTTTGAAGTCAAAATTCTTTATCGGCGTTGGAATGAAACTTCTTTATCGACATATGGGAGAAATTTTGTAGCAAATCGTCACGTTCTTCAATGATAGTAATAATTCTATTACAATTAATGAAATTCTATAATAATCTTCGTAGTAATAAGGTAAAATGAAATATTTGTATTCATGTCTATGATAATAAAAGCCTTTTGTTCAACTTTATCTAATTTAACGAATTTCTGTAAAGTTGCATATAGTAGATCATTTTTCGAAAAATAAGATCATAAAGAAGTTTCACTTCTTACGTGTGTACACCTAGTACACGCACAATTTATTTTTTATAATTAGGTAATTGTTTAATTTTTCATTGTTATTTGTAATTTTATTTTTGTTAATTCAATTATGGACATTACCCTTGGCATTTCGTTTTTATTCCTTACTGGGGTTGTCTGATAGAGATCGCTTTAAGGCCTAAATTGCATTCCTAATAATTTATGTTTCTTGTTTTTTCTGTAATTTTTTATTAAATATACCCAAAAAGGTAGGTGCGCAGCGCTACCTGTGCTGACTAGGGCAAGCCTTGTGACCATAGCACTGTTTCGGTAAGACCATTGTGTACTCGCGAGACACGCAACACAAAGTTTTTAGTAACAATATAAGAGATGTAAAAAGTCCCTACTACCCTGAAGTAGAAGGAAAAAGAAGACAATTGTGTGTATAGGAACGTATAAAGATCTTTATATAGTAGCGCTATTTACAAAATTATGTAACAAATATACAAGTACTTTCAATTAGTCATAACGGGCTATACATTAGAACTGAATCCATTTTGAGCTTCTGCGACAATAATAAAAATATTTTCTCGCTGAAAATCAAACCTGCCATGGCATACATATTCCACAGGAACTAAATTTTTCGAATAAATGTACTATATCAGGCATGTAGAATAACGAACATTAAGAGAAAGTTATTAAAATAATTTTAATTAATAAAAATCATTCACTCAGTCACTTATTTATTGACACAGCTCTTAATCTGGGCCTAAAATTTTTGTTTATTCGTAATTTTTTCATCATAGGCAATTAAGTTGTATGCCTGACACACGTCGCATTATTGAATACAAAATTCCATTCGTATCACCTCGGCGTCTGTTGTTCCACATCTGAGCGTTCTTTAAAGCAGTTTTTGCCGCGAACCACCGCTATGTGGAACCACCTGCCCACTGAAGTATTTCCGAACCAATTCGACTTAGGGTACTTCAAGAAAAGAGCATATTCTTGAAAGGCCGGCAACGCACTTGCGAGCCTTCCGGCAATGTGAGTGTCCGTGGGCGGCGGTATCACTTAACAACAGGTGAGCCTCCTGCCCGTTTGCCTCGATTACAAAAAAAAATCGATTATGGTTCTGAGACATTGTGTTTTGCTTCTACAAGGTTTAAAATTAAAATAAATTTAATAAGCAATATTCTATGATGGTGTTTTGTGAATGATTAGATTATAAACAGAGCAAGTAATCGTAGTGTGACGTAAGTTCAAGGTCAATTGCTAAATTAAACTTGACATTGACAGAGATTTTCTTTAAACAACCTTTACCTACTTTCGAATATTTAATACCATTTTTTATTGTTAAAAGTCTATTAATGTAAACTAAATGAGTATAAAATTCGGATATTTAAATTAGAAAGGTTGACCTTTGAAACCCTAAACACAATACAACCTTATTAGAAAGATTTGTTACCATGGTAACCGTTGCACATAGAAAACTAAAGAAAAAGTAAATCATCGTTACTATGGCAACGGGGAATTTGTATTTAAATTAAAGGCGTTTATATTTATGACGGTTATACAATATTATTTATTATTTATATATAGTAGCACCACTGATACAAACCCTGTATTTCTACCCAAAACATCTGCTTTTATCTATTGTACAAAAATCACAGTCCTGTCCTAACAGGTGATCCTAAATAAACAAGAATATCTATAATAAATCACAGATGAAACAAAAACCAAACACTGGAAATTAATTTAGAAAACAATGCTAAAAAATTACATTATAAAATAATTAATTAACTACTATAGGCATGAACAAATAGTAGAAAATGCTTACATAATCTATAATCATATCTATGCGCAGAATGAAATGTAAATAACACTAAGAATATCTGAACTAAAACAATGAGGGAATAGTGAAAAAGTTTTACAATCCATTTCTTAGTTTGTGTTGTCTAGATTCCACGGTTTTATTGTAAAATATATTAAAATCAACTTCATTGTGTGGTTGTAGGAGTGTTGTTTAATCTCATTAACGCATAGATTAATATTATGAATAGAATCGGAATTCTGACAGCTCAAGTCCTTCTACCCATAAATTATGAGATTATTAAAGTAAATAAATTGTGCGTGTACTAGGTGTACACACGTAAGAAGTGAAACTTCTTTATGATCTTATTTTTCGAAAAATGATCTACTATATGCAACTTTACAGCAATTCGTTAAATTAGATAAAGTTTAACGAAAGGCTTTTATTATCATAGACATGAATACAAATATTTCATTTTACCTTTATTACTACGAAGATTATTATAGAATTTCATTAATTGTAATAGAAGTATTACTATCATTGAAAAACGTGACGATTTGCTACAAAATTTCTCCCATACGTCGATAAAGAAGTTTCATTCCAACGCCGATAAAGAAGTTTGACTTCAAAAGCAACATGGCGCGTAACCGAAAAATGTGACGCGTAACTAAAAAAAGGGTGCGTGTACTTATGTACGCGCGTAAGAAGTTATACTTCTTTGGCATTATTAAAAATAGTTTTTGATTGCATGCAAATAATTAATTACAATTAAATAATCAAAGACTGGAAAAGGAGTCATTAAAGTCAATAAAGTTCAGTTTACATTTGAAAAATTAATTAAATAAATATTTATTATTATTCTCTTACATTAAACAAATAAAACACTATTTATCTTTAAAACATTTTTATTTCATTATACTATTTATTTTTAAGTGACTCTAATGTCTTCATCAGAATTTCGGTTTGTAATTTTAAATTAATCATTACTTGGTTGTGCATCTACGAGGCTTCTCCAAAACTACTTGCTTTCTGCAACAAATAAGAGAATATTAATTTAAGCTCTGTCCATGCAAAACTTAAAATTTTTATAATTCATATTATAAATTTTTAACACATTTATATTAATATAATTATATAAATGTGTTAATAATATAATTTGTAGCACATGCTACAGACCTGGATAGCAACTTTCTTTTATTCTATTTAGAGATAGAGATAATTTAAATATAATACCGGTGTCTTCCTTGTAGGTTTCTTTGGAGTTGTTTGGGGATTCTTGTTGTTCAGTTCGACATGATTTTCTTTAACCTTTCTTTAATCCTACAAAATAATGAAATTGTTAAGTTATGTTGTCACTGTTGTGCACACCTTTGTTTGGCTTTTTTAGTATTCAAGTTATGTCAAAACTGATTTATTACCTTGTCATTGTTGGCTTTATTTGCTTTTGGGATATCAATTGTTTCCAAAATGATTTTATTTGTAATAACCTGAAATATATAAATAACATCTATTAATTTAAGTATCATGGTGAGTGGTTCGCACTCAGGTATTAAGGTGTATTATACCCACTGTCCATTATAAGTGGGAATGGGCTCACTTCTGGCAGGACAGAGTTTCGGTACTACAAGTGCAACATGGATGTTTTGAGGTATTACAATATCTCTAACTACCCTGTAGGGGAATAAAGTAATGTTGTAAGCATATGCCTATGCTTGAAAGGTTGAACCTTGAACATCACCATACATCATATTTATAATTAACATTCCTACCTCGACACCATCACAATCAAATTCATTGAAATCTACTTCAAACCATTGTGTCTCGAGAAGGTGATGGTGGCTTTGTTCCACCTCCAGTTTTTGATGTTTCACGGCGATAAGATGACAACTCTTTTTTTGTATTCAATTTAGTGCACTTCCACTGATTCATCAATTGTTTTTTGTCTCTTGTCCTTATATTTGCTAGATTAAATCTGATGTTTTGATTAAATAATGTGGTCATTTTTTTGAGATGCAGGTACTTATTAAAATGTTTACTTCTCTGTTATATCGCTCCAAGCCTTCATTTTCTCCTTATTAGTATTCGTGCTTAAATCTTTGTTCTCAATTATTGATATATAGGGTCGTAGAATATTTCTAAAAAGTTGCTGTAACAAACGCAATAAACAAAAGCAATGAATAATGGTTCATGTTTCAGTTTTAATCAACAATAATACTCGATAATACATACGGATAGTTAACCTCAATTGTATTGAAGCACTCAGGAAGGTTAGCACAGTTTTTCACAAATATTTTATATTATTTCACAAATATTTTGTATAATGAAAATAACTAGGTATATAATTAATAATTTTAAACAATAATTAAAACTCCTATATTTGTTTAAAAGGTCAATGTCATTGTCAGATGTCAATTGTCATGGTCATTCAAAATTCTTGTTAAGCTGCTAAGCTAGAATATGCGTGAAGTTAGCTTCACGCATATTCTATTTCTTTACTTGTAGTTTGTCTTATTCCCATCTCGCTCGCGCACGCTATATCACACTGCCAATTTTGTGTCATAGGTGCGCGCGCAATCGTAAAATTTCACTCTCATCAATTTTTCATAACGCGCCTAAAGAAGTACAACTTCAAAATGTTCCACTAAATTTTTTCCAACCTCGATAAAGAAGTTTCACTTCAAAAGTACTTATTATTGACTCATGTCAAACGATAATTATAATTTAGTTAAATAATATGTACTTTTTGGAAACTTGTACGCATTTTTAATTTTTCCGAATTCGGTTAAAACCTTTTTGGTGGCAACTAAAAGAATCTTTAATTCAAACTGGTCGCACACTGCTATTGTCACGTCGACGCTTTGAACTTTTTAAAAAAGGAACTATCAAAAATATCTCGCGTAACGTCAGAAACATGATTTTTTTATTAACTCCGAGCTCGTCACAAGAGCAAAAAGTATTTGATAAAAAGAGTTGGTATAGTTTTTTTGTTTGGATATATTTTCTTTTGATTTAAAAAAATCTATGCGTGGTTTTGCGGTGATGAGTTTCTTTCTATATTTGAAATAAGAATTTGCGAATGATACACATTTTAAATTTTGTTAGACATTGTAACACAAATGTTTAATACAATTATTAAATAACCTGACAAAGCAAATAGTGTTAAAAGTTCCTTGATTTAAATCTGTCTATAACTCGTGAGCGATGCCAGAGACTTATTAATCTAGAATATAGACAGTTTAAACTTTGAAACTCAATCAAACTCTAAAGAAAATCGCTTTTAATTTTGCATATTAATTAACTATTTTAGTTAGCTGATTTTCAAAATATTTGTTCCTTTGTTTTGAATTTAAGTTTATCATAAGAAGCAACTAAAAGGCCAGACTGGCATAGAGATGCTTTCGTTTTAGCTTTTAAATTCTCCAGCGTGGACTAAAGGCACCAAGAATATAATTTATTTATTGTTATTAATTCTTAATTTATTTTTCTTTCTTAGCATTCGATATTTAAATATAATAGAGCCTACTTCTATAATGCGATACTTACCGCTATTTTAGACAAACAATCTAATATATAAAATTCTCGTGTCACATTGTTCGTTCCCATACTCCTCCGAAACGGCTCAACCGATTCTTATGAAATTTTTTATGTATATTCATTAATTCTGACAATCGGCTACTATCTTTCTTTCAACCCCCTAGGTGAAAACGATTGTCCAACCCAAAAAATGATGAAAAATAAAAAAATGACGATTAATGATATATCATATAAAAATACACACAAGCCAAGAACTAAAAAAATGTTTCCTAGAAATAATATACATGGCAAAACAACGTTTGCCGGGCTAGTATTCTATAAAATCAGATATCAAAATATATTAAGTCTGATTTCAGAGTCTAATTGAGAAAAACTATATTATAATAGAAAATATAAATCACCGATACGATACCGTCAATTTTCGCCATAATTTTCGTCTAAAATCTTACTTTATTTATGTTTAACACTCAACAGATCCTTCTTCTCGAAGCCGGGCCGGAGGAGCCAGACGTGACAAGCGTGCCAGCATTCGCGACAATATTGGGCAATTCAAATATAGACTGGATGTATAGAACTCAGCCAGAAAAATTGACCTGTCGCGCACAGAGGGGACAGACTTGCGCCTGGTTCAGGTAATAAGCAACTTGTATCGAATGCCTGTGTATGTCATTTTATAATAGCTAAAAGGTTTTGGTAGTAAAACGGAAAATATAACTTTTCAGCGTTTTGAGTAAGACATACATAAAAACTAGAGCAGTGTTGGCCTAGTGGCTTCCGCGTGTGACTCTTATACTTAAGGGTCGTAGGTTCGATTCCCGGCTGTGCACCAATGGACTTTCTTTCTATGTGCGCATTTAACATTTGCTCGAACGGTGATGGAAAACATCGTGAGGTAACCGACATGTCTTAGACGCAAAAAGTCGACGGCGTGTGTCAGGCACTGGAGGCTGATCACCTACTTGCATATTAGCTTTAAAAATGATCATGAAACAGATTCAGAAATCTGAGGCCAAGACCAAAAAGAGGTGGTAGCGCCACTGATTTATTTATTTATACATAAAAATTAAGTTATTTCACTGTTTTAAATTACTTGTTTTCATCAAAAAGAGAGCAATTGTATGAATCAGGGTTAAAATCTTTAGTCACTTTCATTAAATTTGGATACGATATCATCACAATATTTATATTATTCATTAATAATATAAGTTACAGAAAATACATAAATATACTTCTTAATTTGAGAATTGAAAGTTGTTGTTTTCGTAAATATGATAATCTGTGGATATGCGTTGCTCTATAGTTTATGCTCTGATTACGTTTTGGCGGGAACGGGAATGACGCGGCATTAATGGTGGACGAATACGTTAGTAGATACTCTAATTTTATTTGTTTTGATACGTTTCTAGTTTTAGAGTTTGCTTATCTTGCCGAAGCCTCGTAAAAAATAGCTGTTCAATTGTTTAATGGATTACTGGTAATGTTACCGTATTTAATTAACATACATAATATACAGTAAGCAAAAATTAAGTCACTAATTTAATTCTGTCCAACAACGATGTGATTCATGATATTATGTATTTGTTAATGAGAATAAAGTTCTGTAAAGATTAGTCTTAAAGATTTTAGTTTCTTCGTTCGAGGTCAGATAATAAAAAATATCAAAAATTATAGATTCATAGTATATATACACTTACAACGTCACATTAAAACATAAGATTTACGGTTACTTACAATAGTTGTTCTTACGATCAAATCAATTTTTAAAGTTATACTTCTTTGGGCGCGTTATGAAAAATTGATGAGAGTGAAATCTTACGATGCGCGCGCACCGTGACACAAAATTAACACAATGAAGTTGCCCACGGAAGATGCTACGGCATAGGACATAATTTAAAATCAACATTCGAATAATAATAGAATTTATGTTACACTTAAGAGAATAATAATAAGTATTTATTTATTTAATTTTTCAAATGTAAACTGAACTTTATTGACTCCTTTTCCAGTCTTTGATTATTTAATTGTAATTAATTATTTGCATGCAATCAAAAACTATTTTTAATAATGCCAAAGAAGTATAACTTCTTACGCGCGTACATAAGTACACGCACCCTTTTTTTGTGTAAGTTACATAAATATGCTTATAATTAAATATACAATTCAATTTAAATATCGTCAAAGTCTTAAAAAATATTAATGTAGCCATAGCCGCGTATTTGTTATCAGTAAAATGAACGGTCGCTCCCCTTACCTCATTTTACCCCATCCATTACATCTTAAGGAGTTGTGAAACTGTTACGTATAGTTTATGACCTCGGTTCCGCCCATAGGGTATGCTGAAATGTATAACACTGATTTATACGTAGGCCTGACCTATAAATGCTTGTGTAAATTATTGCCTTACTTTTTCTGTAGCTGGACGCTTGTCTATTCAACGAATTGGCGTTGAATAGACCAGAACTTATAGAGAAATGCTGAAAATAGATCGCACAGACTTACTTGTAAATCTCCGTATAGTTTTTGATTTTTAAATGGCATTGAAGAATCTGGTATTTACCGTAACAATTAATAAAATTGGATTTGTGTTGGTACCCTTTTTTTTTCAATAAATCGTCTCTGCACAAATACTCAATGCAACATTGCGATCTAGCCTAACTTAGACTAAAGTAATTCGAAAGTAAACTACTTTTCTGAAAAGGATTTAAAAAAACCAGCTACACCCTTTTTAGGTATTGGCCTCAGATTTCAGTCTCTGTTTCATGAACATTTGTCAATCTAATAGACAAGTATATGATCAACCTCCTGTAGCCGACACACGCCGTCGACTTTTTGAGTCTAAGGCAAGCCGGTTTCCTCACGATGTTTTCCGTCACCGTTCGAGCGAATGTTTAATGCACACATAGAAAGAAAGTCCATTGGTGCACAGCCGGGATCGAACCTACGACCTCAGGGATGAGAGTCGCACGTTGAAGCCACTAGGCCAACACTGATGAAAAATGGTATTTAAGATAGGAAAGTGTATAACACTACACTACTTCCAGTCGGTTTCATAATTTTTTTTACTTAATTTTCCCACTCCATACACAAGTATCATAGTCATTTAAGCCATGAGTGCAGAAATATTTTCCGTTAAGACTTAAAAAAAACATTAAATTTCGTTTAGTAATTAATCACTGATTATACAACATTTATTTAGTATATTTTAGAAGTATATGTTACACAAACATTCCTACCAAAATTGTGCAGCCAATATTCACCCTAAATAGATATTAGTATAGTTAGGAGACTTGTATATCAGAATTAGTATCATTACATATATGCACTGACCGTATTACGTAGTACAGGATATTGCAGATTCATCCGAGGCTAGCCCGGAACCAATATTTGTCCCAAGATGCACCAACTTCGACTGCTACGATGTTACTTAGAACTTGAGATTTCTTGTTGTTTTAAACTTACGGTGTATGTATTAATATACTAGAGTCTCACGCTCTTTTTACTAAAGTAATTTGTCTCTTTCTATCAAATTGTGTTTACTCTATGATGAAAAGTAACATCTGCTTCTTCAAATTTATGGACAAAAACTAGTTTATTTAAAATAATTTAAATTCTGGTATTTAATATACAAAAAATTATTATAATACAGAATACTATGCTAACAATAAAAAATAATTTACTCGTAAAATAACGCTTTGTACATAAGCAACGGCTTAGGTTTTCTTCGATGCTTAGTTTCAGAAACGAAACTTAGCGTTAAGCTTGACTCCCGAACTTCAAAAAATGTATTGCATATGACATGCGAGAGTTATAGTTTGCGCTCAGACGTTTCTGAATCTAACCCTTATAGTGAGTCGCTGACATTCTAAGATATTTAGACAAATATATTTTAACCCATTTCAAAAATTTTATTAGCATCTGCAATTACTTATTTTAATTCGTAAAAATAAATATAGCCAAAGACTTCCGTCTTATAAAAAGGTTTAAACATATACGAATCTTCAGAAAATTCAATAAAAATAGTATAAAATAATTCGAGTGTGTTGTCTGATGGTGTGTGAGTCATACGTACATACCACGTGAGTGTGTGTATGTGGGGTGTAATAATGTTTATAACAATACATATTTTTATTCAAAATATTATTAAATTTGTTAAATACTGAAGCGGTTATATTTTCAGATTAAAAGCTTTTTTTAATATTACAGAGGAAAAACTATGGGTGGTTCAAGCGCTACGAACTACATGGTGTACATTCGCGGCAACAAACTGGATTATGATGAATGGGCTGCTGATGGAAATCATGGTTGGAGCTATCGTGAGGTATAGGATAAAACGAATGAATAAGCGTAGTATGAATTCATATAATAGGGCAGATACATTACTGCATCTGTTTTACTGGTATTATATCTAGGCAGCTATTTAAAAAAAACAACATATGGCATTTAAGTATTAGCTACTTGAACCAAGTATATTTTAGCCCCAAGTGTTGTTCCTTTTAGAAAATAATTCACTTAATTTGTCTCAAATGTAATTCTTCGTAAATCTTTCTATTTTACATATTTAATACAGTGTTTTATACCAGGTATTACCCTACTTCAAGAAGTCTGAAAACAACAGAGACATTGAGTCACATGACAGATATTACCACGGGGTTGGCGGTCCACTTAACGTTGAACGATTCCCCTATGTCGACAAACCAACCATGATGATTGTACAAGCATTTAAAGAAAAAGGCCTCCCAATAACTGATCTGAACAGAGAGAGTAACTACGGAACAGATATAAGTCTGTCAACCTCTAAAGACGGACAACGACAGTCCACTAATGTGGCTTTTATTCGGCCCATACGACACAAAAGACCTAATTTGCATATTATTACCAACGCTTTTACCACAAAACTTATCATCGATCCTCTTACGAATACAGCGTTAGGTGTTGAATATATCAAAGAAGGTGTACTACAAAAAGTGTTTGCTAGAAAGGAAGTTATAGTTAGCGCTGGTGCTCTGAACTCACCAAAATTATTAAAGCTCTCTGGTATTGGACCTAAAGAGGAGTTAGAAAGTCTTCATATTCCTGTCTTAGTTGATTTGAAAGTAGGACATAATCTTCAAGATCACGTAACAACTGACGCATTGATAGCATCACTATCTAACAAAACATCAACTTTAGTGAACGGTGAGCAAATGCTTAGTGAAATATACAGATACCATGATCAGCATCCAAGAAAAGATGGACCACTATCAACCACGTCTATTTTAAACAGTGTCGGGTTTATCAAGACAATAATTTCCAAAGAAGATGCGCCTGATGTGCAATTTCATTTTGATGGTCGACGTGTTGATCAGTTTTATTCAGATCCTACAAGTTCAATTGCCTCCAATGTTTTACCTCTATCATTCTTTGATGGTTTTGCCCCCCGACCATTACTGCTTAAGCCCAAAAGTAGAGGCCTAATATTACTTAATCAAACTGATCCAACATTTGGTCCACCATTAATTTATACAGGTTTCTTTAAAGTAAAAGAAGATGTCGATACATTAGTTGAAGGTTTAAGATTTGCTGTAAGTTTAGAAGATACTGAAGCTTTTAAGCTAAGTGGGGCTCGATTTGTTAGGATTCCTGTACCAGGATGTACCGCATATTTATGGGGAACGTATGAGTATTTCTTCTGTCTCTTAACACATTACACAACAACTATTTACCATCCTGTGGGAACTTGTAAGATGGGACCGGAGTGGGACAAAGACGCTGTAGTCGATCCTAGATTGAGAGTGTATGGAATGAAGAAATTAAGGGTGATTGATGCTTCTATTATGCCGAAAATTGTGAGAGGGAATACAAACGCTCCTACTATAATGATAGCTGAGAAAGCTAGTGATATGATCAAAGAGGACTGGTTATCTCATCAATATTTTTAATACGTGTACAAATAACATCGACAAATAAATTCCCTAAATTTAAAATCGATTTGCGTTTTGATTTTGTAATTTTAATTGTTTTTTTTTTTCATATTTGTATTTTCTCCCCGTGTATGTTTGCCTATAAGTGCTTGTCTTTAAAAAAATTGTATATTGTGGTTATCTTACTAATGTATCAGTGTGCCGACCGTTGGCAAGATTTTATCAATAAAAAAAATAAAAACATTGTTAGTAGTTCATAATTGACATCTAAAATTGTGTAGAGCATTAATGTCCCATTCGTTATGCAAGGTATAATATTCATTCATAGAATTCATAGAACATTTTGTCAATATCAATTCAATATCATCAATATTTGTCAAATTATAATAATTAGAGAGCGGGAAGACATTTCAAACGAATATGAGCTCCACATATATCTTTAATTTTGTCGACTCAAACGTTTTTTTATGTACATACAAATATGTATATGTACCTTCTCATCAATTACAGTTCTAATATGTATGTGATACACTTTGTTGTTAAGAAAGCTGAAATATACTTCAACAATGGCCGTCTGAAAATAAATTAATAATAATAATAATAGCCTTTTATTTTAGATACTTGTACACGTAAGCAAATTTATATTTCTACCCCATTATTTTAGGCACATAGGTGCCCTTTTTGGCAAAGGCCTCCTCCATATGCTATGCATCTGCTGTTTCCTTAATTTGGTCTAGTCAGTCTTAGTGGTGTCAGCTTGCGAATCTTATTCCTAATGTCGTAGGTTCAATCCCCAGCTGTGTACCAACGTCAACAAAACGTCAAACGTTATCGCTTTTAACACTCGCTCATATCGAGATACATCGTGTCATACTGATCAGACTGCGGCGGACAGACAATCAATTAGTGTGTCAGGCACACATCAGGAAACAGATAATGTGAGGCCCTAGAAAGTTAGGGGGTTAGGGTTAGAGTTGTTGGACTCATTTCCGCAATTAGACACTTAATTGGTCCGTTATGCGTTAAGTCCTGGCTAATTTAGCCAGCCTAGCTTCTTCCAGAAGCACAGAAGTCTCCTGGGCACTTCACAGGCTTCTCGGAGCGACTCACTGTTCCGAGGATTTCTGCACGTTGATTAGCCACAGCCTCGCATTCCAGGACTACGTGGGTGACTGATTCCTCTGCGCTGAAACAGCCTCTGCACAAGAGGCTATCTGTAACGCCTAGGACAAAAAGATGTTTATTAAGGAGACAATGACCCGTAATTGTCCCTATCATTGTTTTAAGGTTGGTTCTATTTAAGCTTAGTTGTCGCTTTGTCAGTTGCGGGTTCACTGCTGGCAGAACCATTTTGGACTGTTTGCAGACCGCACTACGCGACTGCCCTAGAAGGTTATAGTGTCAAATATAAAGATATTTCAAACATGAAGTAAATAAAACGTATTGTAAGTACTGTATCCCGCACTCATTGTGAACGCAGTGAGTAAAACAAGAAACTTTTAGACAAAGACCAACAGAATAATATCTCCCTACTCATCTACAAGGAAGATTTTAAGTTGGGCTATTAAAATGGCGTTTATCTGATCATTAACTGAAACTGTCATTAAACATTTAAGTTAAATTTGATCGGTTTCTTGAATAAATAAAAACCTTGTATGGTGTTAACATAATTTTAACAGCATACAGGTTAAAAAGTTAAATGTCTGGCAATATAAAACTGTCTTTGATTTACCTACTACCAATTTCTTCTTTATTCATTATAACAATGAAATATATAGTATTTACAATTTTCTTAACCTACCTAGCAACAATAAAGATATTTTAAAATTAATAAAAAGAATATTTAAACAAATTTAAAAATTGGATCCCTGTAGCAGTGTTCATTTAATGCTGCATTTCCTCGCTGCGATACTTATTCGTTGAGCGAGGACAGCACTATAAAATATAAAATATGTTTATTAAGGAACATAAGATACATGTATCACTTATTCCACGTCATTAAATTTGAATTTGTAGGCATCCCTACTCATCGGCAAAGAAGACAGAGGGTGTAGGCCGAGAGAAAAAGCCGGCGTAAAAAACTCTCGGTACTCTTTTAAAATATCAAATCATTAAAAATCACTAGCTCTGGGGTCACCAGTTCTGTCTACCAGGCGCCTACTTAAATCTTTAATTAGTGCATGTGCACTTGAACCCCACGGCCCAAGAGTCTCTACTCCAATGGGAACAAATTCAAAGTTGGAGGTTAGACTCTTTTATATTTGAGCCGTTTGATTTTATATTTTATTTTAATCAGCTATAGCGTTTTAGGTTGGGCCTCAAATTTCTACATCTGTTTCATGATCATATTTTGTAAATCTTATTACAAATGATCTAACGAACCTCAACATAATTAAGTAAGTGATAAGCCTTCTGTGCTTGACACACGCCATCGACTTGTTTGGGTCTAAGGTAAGCCGGTTTCTTCACGATGATTTCCTTCACCATTCCAACGAATGTTTTAAACGAACATATAAAGAAACTCTATTGAAGCACCGCCGGGGATCGAACCTACGATCAATCTCAGGGATGAGAGTCGCACGCTGAAGCCACTAGGGCCTAGTGACTAGGCCAACAATGCTTTTACTTTATATACTCAAACGTTTAAAATGGTTTTGATTGTAATTACCTTAAAAATTACCTGATGTCATTACTGCATACATATTTTATGCATAACGAAACTATCAGTTTTCAATTTAGCTATTAAAGTCGCTATTTTTATAGCCTCAATCAGCCTCAGTCCCATCTGCCATAGGTACTCCCCCATTATCTGCCTCCATAAACCGGCAAGACGCAAACAATCCTCGGAGTCCTCACTTTAAAATCACCACACAATAATAAACCTCTCCCGTCTCGCTCCAACTTGTAGTGCAAGACAAAGATAGCACCAGAATCGGCAGGCTTTTAGCCCAGTCATAAAGTTTATAGCCTAGAGTTTAAACTTCATCAAGTGCTATAAATGAGTCAATAGCGCGTTTAGTAGCTCCAAGTAAATTCTCTTATGTTGCTTCTAGATTAAAAGTGGGAAAAGTTTTTCGTTCAGCGCCGTATTTATGTTGAATATGTTCTGTAATCTTATATCCGGTTAAAATTGTTCTGTTCCACATTCAAGTTTAAAAATGCAGAAACGTTGAATAAAGTTTATCCTTGCATTCGTGTAAAATGTTCATGACAGATTTTCTCAGCTTAGGGCCCTTCAAGAATAAATTTAAATGATATACAGTTTTAACGAATTTGAACTTCTCTCTTCCATGAACTGAATTTTATTATTTTACAAATTTCGATGTTTAAACTAATCTATATAAAAGTGTATCTATGTACATTGGTGATACTTAAAAGAAAACCAGGTAGGCCTTAGCCAGATGGGACTACGAAATCAAAAATATAGCGAGCAACTTTCGGGAGGGCAAGAGAAAACTGGTCCTTATTGGGGGATGCTTTTACCTTGAAAGGGATCTCATACTAACACAAATTAATATAATTTACATAAATTAATTGCAACTTTTAAGGAGAAATATCTTTATTAATATTATTGCTTTTGGTGTTACTTTATCCTTGAGGCTGTGTATTGGTGAGCTTTATAAGTATATGAAAAGTTACCGGACGTCAAGGAAAACAAAATTCAACCAAACCATAATTGTATGTATTTTTATTGTATTTCTTGTAACATTTATGTGTACCAAAATCACCATATATTTATCAGCAGATATAGTATTACGAGTATGTTTAATGTGGTAAACTTAAATATATAAATAAATACTAATCCTTCGTTGTATTGTATTAGTATATGGAACCTCGAACATAATTTCGCTGTTTTGCTGATGATTTTTCTTTTTTTTCTGCTCTAAGTGCCAACAAATTTCTGTAATTTTATTTTATTTGAATGTGTGCTTGTATTATCGTATATGTTTTAATTGTATTTAATTTCTATTTAATTTTTTTTTGAGAAACATACGCTTACATTAATTGTCACACATTTTAGATGTAAGATTTTGTAAAATAATTAGTAGATTTAGGACTGTGTGTGATGTCGTAAGCTTAATAACTAAATAAATAAATAAACCAGACCAACTGTAGTTAAGACACGAAATCAATACTTAAAAGGCAACGCACTTTTGACAGTATTGTCGACAGTATCACTTTATATCAGACAAGCCCTTTAAATAAAAAACCTTTCAGTTAATGTTATAAGTATTTACATAAACCTATAGCCTAACATTCTAATAAATTATGAAGATGAGATGAAGGTACTAATGATAAGATATACCAATAACTATGATACTTTTATCATGTACCAAAGCCAGCCGCGGTCATAAGTAAATTACAATTACGTTCCAACCAATCGAGCTTGCAATTCCATCAAATATAATTATCATTGGGAATGCATTACGTTTAATATTAATACGTTCTAATGGTGTTCCGAATACATGAATAAGTTTATATTCAATGTGAGGGGAAATGCAAGTCACAGGAAATTTATTTTGCTGAAATCATGATGGTGTTTTGTTACCTTTGTTTATGAATGAATGAATTAAGAATTATTTCAAACAACCAATTCTTTCACCTTTTTTTTATATAGAACAGGGGGCAAACGGGCAGGAGGCTCATCTGATGTTAAGTAATACCGCCGCCCATGAACACTCTCAATGCCAGAGGGGTCGCGAGTGCGTTGCCGGCCTTTTAAGAATTGGTACGCTCTTTTCTTGAAGGACCCTTAGTCGAATTGTTTTGGAAATACTTCAGTGGACAGCTGGTTCCACATATTCCACACACTAATAACTAATATTATGATTTTACATATTTTGATATTTAATATTATTTAATCTACTCACTGTTTGCTGAGACATAGGCCTCCTCCAGATTTTTCCTTTAGTGTTAGTTTATTAAGAACAAGTTTCAGATTACTTTGGTTTAATGAATTTCAATTTCTTTTTTTATATATTAATGTACTTATGTTTTCTGTTTCGTATATTATCTTT